CTGCTCTCTTATCTAAGTTGGGCCTTTCTCCTTCTCATTACAGCCACGGCCATGGCTAAAGAGAAGAAAAAAGGTCCGAGGTTTTTATTTGAAGCATAATGCCTCAAGTCAGCATACTATTTACGTGCAAGTGTGATGAAATAGTATTTTATGTGACTGTTACTTAATGAAAGGCGTTAAAAGATGAGTGCGGGTTTATGAAACGTGCCGATAGGAGAGTTTCATAAAAACATCACACGAGTGTGCCTAATTATATGTACAATTCCATACACTGCTTTATCTACACACATATTATAAGCTCTCTGTGATATTCAGGAACCGCATGTTACTGGCGAAATGGTGGCAAATAAAAACTTTTGTCACGAATGTCACACAACCGCAGTTTTTATTTAATTCATAGACAAACTAGAGTCGGCCCCAACTATCATATCGTTCGATATCAAGTAACGAGTGAAATTTGTCAAAATTGTTTGCTTTTGACATTTCATTTTGAATAAAACTTCATCTCGACTGATATTAAAATTGAGGTCGAATCAAATTATTTTGTTTTCCAGATATGTTCGAGGTTTGAATGTAATAATAACATCGAATTCGATGTTATTATGAAGCAACATCGAGTATATAACCAGAAATAGAGACGAAATAAGGGCCATATATTCCTGGTAACACATTAGCGATACAGCTCTTATAAATATCAACTCTCGTTTGCACTGAAATACAGACAGGCTAACCACTGACCTGTGTGTATGTCTCCGTAAATTCCAAAAAATATTCTGTATTTATTGTAATAAAGGTAATATCTCTAACCTTTCAATAGTGGTATAGGAAAAACAGCAAAACATCTAATTACAAAACAATCGGAATCACATTTCATCGGTAATTAAATATTAAATATGTAATTTTGCAATTTTCGTCCATTATAGCAAAGCTCACGTCAACTGGTCAATTTGAAGTGAAACAGTTGACGACACCCGTCAATTGTTTCGAACTCGAGCTAGCCAATGGGAGCTCAGTTGTCACAGCAATGATAAGGCAGAATAGTTTTCTAACGAATTAAATGACATTTTGTCTCTATTTCTGGCTATATACTCGATGTGAAGCAGTAACAACGTTATCACAGATAAGAAGTTTGTTCTAACAAAACAGTTTACGTTTTCGCTAGTCGTAATTTGCGGTTTTTGAACACATCATAGAGGGCTTATGATATGTGTGTAGATAAAGTTTTTTTAAGACATCATTCACTAATGACGAAATCAGGAACATCAAATTTTACGGCTCACAGGTTAAAAGTTTTTAAACATCTTTCTTCCCACTGATCTTTAGAACCAAATAGACCATTAGGGGATCAGGTATCTTAGAGCTTCGACTGTACCATGAAACTCCTACCACAAATTACTTAATCTCCTGCCTTTTTGAACTACAGGTGATATTATTCAAGGCTAAATTAATAACACACACACACACACTCAACATAGCCCCGCACTAGGGAAACCCTGTGTCGCGGGTGCCATGGACACACACATAGACAACCACAAATTACACCCAAACTCACGAGAGAAATAATTGTAGGCCACACAACTATTTCTCCCGGCCCGGGAATCGAACCTGGGACCTCTGCTTGGCAGTCCGGCATGGTAACCGTTCGGCCACTGAGGCAGTACAGTAAGTATAATAAATTAAACAAATCCTTCAAGTAAATCTTGCGACAAATTACTAATTATCTCGACAATTAAAAAATTACTTCGCGCGATAACAAAATTGATTAACTGCCGCCCCCTTCCGGTTCTCACTCTATTTGGGAGTTGGATCTAAGCATTTTCAATTAGCGACCGGAGAGGCGGTCATTAAAATTTTCATTCACAACAATTTCAATATTTCTCGAGCCAACGAATCCCTCAGGTAGAGATTCCACAATTGAAGCGAAATTTCGGACAAGTCTTTTGAGACAATTACCATTGGTCTAGTTTACGTAATTTGGAAAATTACATTTCAGAAACGGGAAATCTTAGAAGTAAGATTTATTAAATTAATGCATCTCGTTGGAAAATTGAATCGTAAGCCTAATGAAAGACTAGACGTATTCAATTTCACAATATCATAATTTAAAAGTCGTATATGTAATTGGTAATTATGACTACCTCCTTGGTCGAGTGGCTTGTACACCCGTTTTCATGGTATCGCCATCTCTGAAATCCCATGTTCGATTCCCGACCGGGTCAATATGGGACAACTAACTTAGCCAGGGCTAGTAGCTGTAAAGTTACCTAACTGGTTGACGATATACTTTCATAGATTTCTCATAGATGGCGCTACGGCTAAAAAGTCGTTGAAAAACCGAATACAAAGACCTGACAACAAGCATATGGAAAAATTTGTGAGGTCCACTGGTTCGTTCCGTGGCTTAACATCTGGCACGGATTGTTAGAGGATCTCGGTTCGAATCCGGTCGGATCGAAATAATTTTTTCTAAGTTAATTAATCATTATAACAACTAACTTTTTAATATTATCTCGGGTCTGGGTATTTGTGGTTGCGGTACAGTCCTTGTTTCTGATATTCATAACACAAATGTTTACACTACTACTTACTTTGAGATCAGAGCAACGTATGTGATATTGTCTAATCGGTTTGAATGTTTTTTTTCTACATCAATATGTCTTAGAGAAAGGTCAATCTTCGAATCCGCAAGACTGCATTGTCTCAAGGCGGATGCGTTCCTACTGATGACTTACAGCACTGAGACATGTCGCTCAATAAAGGCTTCATAACAAAATTTAAGATCACCTGAAGGCCAACAGAGAGGGCCATTAACCTTATGAGCAGTGGGCGAGGCACATAGCTCGTACAAAAGGTAGACCGACGATTTAGTAAAGTTTGTACCACTGCAACACAACACTGGTCATTGCAGCTATTTTGGTGAAGCTCCATTTCCAGCCGAGGACGTCAGTTGAGGTGATGATCTGTTTGTCCAGATTGTAGATGTAGAACATTTTTGGTACTTCGGTAATTCACCACATTATCATGGTGATTTTTATTTAAGAGTCACTTGACAATTTGAAAATAGGCTCTTGTTTAATAAAACCGCCTTTAAGGCGGTTTAGACTTTTTGTCTTTCCACTGACTAATATGATTTTCAATAACGTAAAGAATTACAGTTTCTATCAGCTTAAAGATAGGCGCGTTAATCCTTGCGGTGGATCTTACCTGGTGAAACAAATTTCGTTGGCCATTCATGCGATAATGCTGCCAACGTTATGGAGACTTTTGAGCTGGCAGCGATTCAGAGCGCTCCTTTTAAATTCTTTTATTTAAATAAAATTACTAAGACTACATTTATATAATTGTAATAGCAAACGAAAGTAACGTCAAAATACAATGATACAAACGTGAAATTACCTGGTTGCTTCCTGGTTACATTCCTTTGAAATACAATACTTGACACTTTATTGTGTGAACATTGAAAAGTCATCACCCATTTATTTATACATTCCACTGCTGGGCATGGATCTCCTCTCAGGCGAGAGTTTAGACCATAGTCCGCCACACTGGCGGGCCGGGTTGGGGATTTACACGTTTTCCGAGGGTTGTGGACCTTCTTCGACGATTCATCACGTTTACCTTCACCGAAAAGCTTATGGTAAATTGGAAATTAAATTTCGCACATAATTTCAGAGGTGCGAGTCTGGATTCAAACCCATGGCCTTCCTTGAGAGACGGTAGGTCAAACCGGGTACCACGGCTTACATCATTGACAGTGACTCACTTTTGACATTAATTAATTTTACACTTAAAACATTCTTACTCATTCCTAAACTAAAGCCTAAAAGTAAACCCAACATATTATGACGAACGTAATCAAAAGCTTTACCATAGTCCACGAAAGTAGGGAATCCTTAGTGACCCCACAAACATAATCTCAGTGCCGCCACCTTAAGTCCTTTTAATTATCTGGGGTCCCTCTAGTGAAAGAAAACACCGTGGAGGTAGGCTCAGCTGGGCTTTGGCACGTAAACACGCCCTAAGTGCCGGATTTGCTTAAATAATTCAGACGCCATTGCTAACCTTTACGAAAGTGGTTGCGTGAGTTTTTGCTGCCTTATTACATTCAGTATATGCATTCAACAAACAAGTCCTTCCAAAATTATCAGACGCGAGTATTCTATGCGACAGTAGTTTGGTGGTCATTAAACCAGTTTTAAACTTGTAAAATTTACAAAAAGTTTAATTTAGGGTCCACTGAAAATCATCGTCAGTGTTTACTCGACTGTGACATTAGCTGAGTGGATCCTTTTACGTACCTGCGCCACATATGACATTTATTCAAATTCAGTCGTTGTCTTGTTTTATTTCCTTGTGTATAATTTTGTGTCGTGGTGGTGTAACAAATGAATTATATTGTAACTTAGTACAAATGAAATGATAGCACCGAGTTAATAGTTGTTTAATAACAGGTGATACCAGATTTTAAAAAACTTAGACAAAGTACTTATTTAAATCTTTTTGCCAAAATACAGCTGATTTTATCGTCAAACCGTCTATATCAAGAATATGAGGATATAATAAAATTGTAGGTCGTAATTTACAGTATATTTTTTCTTATAATAAAAATTTTGCCTGAAATAACATCATCTGAACTTTCATCATGTAGTTAAAAAGGTAAGAGTCTCAGTTAGAGCTGTTTTTCAGACTTTACCTTTTCGGTGAAACTCGCTACATTTTATGATAATAGCTATATGACACGTTTCGACTAGTTCCGATAAAATTATCACTAAAATATATACAACATAAACTTAAAGCTATGATCGTATTGTCATGAATGTGCCCAATACACATAAACAAATTGGATTTCAGTGTATCTAACTAATCTGAACAATGTCAACTATTTGTGTCTTAATTACTAAACTGCCAGGTAAACGTTGAAACGAAATAACCTTAACCTACTTACACGAATCATTCTTACCTATTCATAAATTTCATCGATTGTATTCGGTTTGTTTCAGACGGAGATCTGCTCGAGCGCTTTAACTGACGTCATCCATGCCGTCATCAACGGCACGGACGGTTGCCTCTTCTGCTTTGGACACGCGGGACTTGGTAAGGACGGCACTTTTGTTACTGAATAATCCAACATAATACTACGTATTCTATAATTAAATTGATTAGATACTCGAGAAATTATTCCCACAAGAGACCTCATATTCGCCTTTTCGAAGTCAGATCTTTGAGAATGTGGTTAAACCAATCTCGAACAAGTTCCGAAGAAGTCGTTTTAAAATGTTTTAGAGTGCATAATCCCAAACTAGACGCGTCAAAGCAACTCGGCCGACTATTTATCAAGTCGGTAGTCGGTGGCAAAAGTTTACCGTCTACGAGCATTTGCATCGAAATGGGAAAGAGTCGGGATCTTAATTGAAAGTTTGATAAATATGAGAGAGGTGAAAATAGCGGCACTCGCATCCACTACGCGGTTTCAGAAGCTAAAAGTTTGAGAGGTAATGTGTACGAGAATTCAGTTACTTATTTGTAATTAGAGTACTTACTGAAATCTTTCAGTGAATTTCTAAAAAATAACTACACTATTGACATATTGTTGTGAATCTTACGAGTACTGTGGGTTGTACAATGTGAGAAAATACAGCTCTTAAAGCAGTTTTTTTAATTTTGATGATGGTGGTGATTATGATTTTCATGGATATTGAGATCTGTTGAGTTATTTTGAAAATAATGTATACATATAATAGACAAGACAAGTAATATGTTATATAGGAGACACTCGAATTATAATCTTCTCGAGTTATAATATATTCACAAAGAACAGGAGGCCTACCACAATTTCTTAAATTAATGTTACTTTAACCTTACATTGACTTTTCTTACTTATAATGTTAAAACTATTATGTTTTATCGGCAGCTTTGGGACTATTCATTCACTCAGTTCGTACTACGACGCGAGTTTAACATTAAAGTAATATAGTTCTTGAGTCAAATTTAGCAATCTTAAAATAGTTGCTTGGACGCAATGGAAACAATATTATTTTCGAATTTATTGTCTAATTATTGATTTGTAATTATTAATGGTTACGTTGAACTTATTTATTTACATAAATTTCTTCAATATTTTATTTATTTTTTTATTTAACAGTGCATAGGAAATCACTTCTCGTGTAAAAAATACCCGATTTTTATTTCGATAAATTATGTCAGCGACATCTATATGCTCCTTGGCGACACTAACAGTTGTCACAAGACTAAAATTCCGAATTCACAACGTGACTGTCAAGACTCAGCTTGTTTTATTTTTCTTGCTTGTTACAATTTTCTTCATAAAAATGCGGAAAAATAATTGAAAACAACGTAATTTTAATAGATTTTATTATTAAATACTTTTCTTCTTTAACAGTTAAAATTCTTTGAATGTAACTAACATTAAGTACTTTAACATTATTTTACGATAAGACCATTCGGAACTTCAAAAAAGAAAGAGATGGCATTATGTAGTTCATATAGCGTTATTTCTTTCCTATTTTTAGAAAGGAATAAACAATATTGGGTAATCATTAGTGCTTTCAATCACTTTTGCAACAACACATACTTGGTTGACAGGTTTGTCATGGTACGAATATGAGTAATATTATAATAAGCTTACTTTAAGCTTACATTGAAATAAGATTATTTTTGGAAAGGTTGTTATGTTAGGTAGGTATTATGGTAGGCCCCCTGTGGTAAAAACGGGATATGGATAAATAGTTACAGATAACACTAACAAAAAAAAGAGACTGATAAACATGTATCAACGATTAAGCACCCCGCTATTTCAATCCCTCTAAAATCAGTCAACATATTGTTACTACACGGATAATGCCACGACACAAACAATAACAAAATGTATTTATGTTTTCGTTCATCGGAGACTATACGGACCTTACACCAATATATAATGATCTGAAAACCTTCTGTGTATTCTATTTAGGTGCTCGTATTATCCCATATACGTAGCACTAGTAGGAACTGGTCTCCTCTAAGTAGATTAAACCGTAATCCACCAACTGGCTCAACGGCGACCGGGGTTTTACATGCATTTTATCTTTAATTATATTAGTTTCTCTATGTTTTTCTTAGAATTCAGACCATTTATTTCAATGTAGTCTAGCTGTGAAGTATCGCTTATGGTTACGGTTACCTAGAACAAAACTAATTTCGATCATGCTGGTCTACTTTGATGGATTGGAGGTAGTGCCTTTAAATCAACGTCCATTGGGGAAAGAATCTAAAGTATACAAAATATATCTAATAGAATATCGAGTTCTTAGGGTTTCGCGATTGTTACACATAGGAAATGAACCGTGACCTGTAAAGGGCCCGAAAAGTTTGGTTTGTTTGAAAAAACAAATAATTACGCGATTTAAATCCGGAAAACAGTTTAATTTCCTGTAGAAGTTATAGAAAGAATGAAAACTTCACCAAAACCAAATACAAGTAAACGACAGAATATCGCGGGTCCATCTTTAATAGTCTGCTAACATTCTAACCACAATCTTCCGTAACTCGCGGAATACGGTTTTAAATCCAAATTAAAGGAAAGCTTCCTAAATGAAACTCCCGAATCGACGATGTTAGGGATGGCAAGGTTGGTTATACCAGTTTGACAATAATAGACGGTATTGGATGTGCACGTATACTCAGGATTGCAAAACAGTGTAAAAGGTATTAAGCTAACGTCATTAGGAATAAAATTATAAATTTCAAATATTCGTCGACTACTGTTTATAATTATTTAGAAAAGCTTTTTGCTCCTGGGAGAAAAATAACTACCTAATAATAAGAAGTAAAATGAGGTACTCATTTTCATCATGGTGCGACTTTACAACCCTAAAAGCTCTCATTTCTCTCCAAACCAAGAGCTTAATGCAACACTCCTTATTTCGGGCCTGATTCGAGTGACAAAATCATTTGAACCTTGTATTAATGAACCCTAGATTGAATCAATAAAGTATAAAAATTAATTGATGGCTCCACGTTGCTTTATAACAGGTTGCCAATGAATGACGAAGAGTACGAGCGAATATGTTATACCAACTGAATTTTTTTTTTTTTCATTTTTTATTTGTATAAAAATACCACCAGTAACTAACACTAACTTGTTATATAGCCTGTGCCATATTGCTCAAAACCTAATCTGAAGCTTTTGTCAACTCTGAATTCGAATTTATATAGTAAAATTCTTTGTTATCAGGTAAATCCTACACAATGTTGGGGCGTCCGGACAATACAGGGACTCTTGGAGCCATCCCTTGTGCCATTACTTGGTTGTTCAGGGGGATCCAGGAGCAACGTCACAAATGCGGCACTCGATTCTCAGTCAGAGTTTCCGCCGTTGAGCTGTGCACAAACACCAATCAGATCAGAGATCTGTTAGCGCCATATCATAACGGTAAGTGCCGGCAATTTGAGAAAAATACTTAAACAGGTTTAAAGAAAAATATTTATAAAAATGTAGATAGTAGATTTATTAGAAAAATCATTTTCTTTTAATTTCGCCGATACCACATAAAACTTGACGTTGTCGTCCATATTGTATACCTTGTTCCTCCTTGTCATTACATTATTTCTCTCTCACCCACGTAAGACGAGTCATATGTTAATAGATTTATTTCCACACTAGCTGACGTTATACATTTTTCACAGATACGGAGCAGTCACCAGGAGTATATTTGCGAGACGATCCTCTCTTTGGCACTCATCTTCAGAACCAATCCGAACTACGAGTCCACAGTGCAGAAAAGGCAGCTTTCTACCTCGACGCTGCCTTGGCCACACGAGGGGCTAGGGAAGAAGGGAAAGACAGCCATCTATTGTACACTTTACACGTCTATCAGTACAGTGTTGGAGGAAAAGGTGCAGGTAAGAATATTAAAACAATACGTACAAAGAGGTTTATCCTCTTTAAGTAAAATAGATAGCGTAAGAAAAGTATTCTGAGCTTGACAAAAAAGTAAGAGTTCTTAGGTTTTCGAGATTGTTACACATAGGAAATGAAACTATTTTTCCGGATTTAAATCGCGTATATTTGTTTTTTCAAACAAACCGACGTTTCGGGCCCTTTACAGGTCCCATGGTCACGGTTGACTGAGGTGGTACAGTCTTCAACCAGTTATCTCTAATATTAATGCAAACCACCCTATTTTTTCACTATAGTTACAATAGTTATTAATTAAATACCTTATTTTTAATTTTACAAAGAAAACATTCCAATTTACGCTACATTAAGTTTTACAAATTATTTTATTGAATGAATTTTTATTAAGTTTAATTTATTATTAATTATTAATAGAAATTAGAATAAACTAAAATAATGAATTTTTATTAAGTGTTGGTGAAACCACCAACAGTCGAGCGAAGACCTGCCATCTTGCCTTACGTGAGAGGTGTTACAGACAAGATCGGAAGAGTCAAATAGGGTGGTTTGCATTAATATTAGACATAACTGGTTGAAGACTGTACCACCTCAGTCAACCGTGACCATGGGACCTGTAAAGGGCCCGAAACGTCGGTTTGTTTGAAAAAATAAATATACGCGATTTAAATCCGGAAAAATATTTTCATTTCCTAAAAAAGTAAGAGTCGTAAAAAGTGTTACAAGTTACTAAAATTGTATTAACGGCTTTGAACCTTTGAGTCCCTTTATCGAAAGTCGATTGAGTAATGAAAACAATAATACTTTTTATGTTTTTGTAATGTTAAATATTAATTAAACATATTGGTCCGCAGTTGCTGGAGGCCGGAGCCGTTTACACCTCATCGACTTAGGAAATTCAGAGAGAGGAAAAACAAACGGCGGAATACCACTCTCTGGACTTGGAAATATTCTGCTTGCAATATTCAACGGTCAGAGACACTTGCCATACAGAGACCATAATCTTACACATGTGTTGAAGGAATGCCTCGGTTCCTTAACGTGTCACACAGCTATGATTGTTCATGTATCGCCGACAGTGCAGAATTATTCCGATACATTAACTACGCTGCAACTAGCGTCTAGAATACACAGGCTAAGAAGGAGAAAAATTAAATACTCGTCGAATAATAATGCTGGGTCTGGTGGCAGTTCTGGCGAAGATGCATCGAAACCTAGTAGCAGTGAGCCAGATCCCTCTAGCAGTGACCTTTCAGCCGATACTGTAATTTACGTGGGCCCCTTAGATGACGCCACTGATGGGGAACATCCACCAGTGTACATACCTCACATAAATTCTGGTGACAATAGATGCGTCCTAAGTAAAGCTTTGAGAGGCTCGGCAGCTGAACACAAACATAAATCCTCACTCTCAAAAGTTGTCGAGGAAAAAAGTCCAGTTCACAAATTACATTCATCGCCAAAATCTTCACCGTTAAAAAGCGCAATTTATTCCTCGGTACATACACCGAAATCATCACCTGTTCATTCGGTTACATCAAAATCTACACCTGTGAAGAAACCGTGCCCAAAACAAACGGAAACTAGTGATGAACAATGGATTGACGGCCCAAGAATATCCAAGTCCAAACTAGTCGAGGCACGACACATAATCAAGGAGACACAAAGTAACAAACGCGAGACATGGATAGATGGACCGATGCAAGAACCCAAAATACCCTTGCAATTTGAACCATTACCAATGCCTATTAATGCTGTTCCTCTACAGCTGGGCGTACTGAACTCTTATGGAAATGAGAATGTTGGCTACGGATACATGGATAATCACAAAAAGAACATGATAAGAAAGTGGGTTGAAAATCAGACTACACAGATCCAAAAATCGAGACACAATTCACCAAACCATAAGGTCCATGCAAGTCATAAAGATTCTGGGCAACGATTATCAGATATACCAGACACTTCACAGAGAATAGAGCCTATTTTGAAAGACTCCAAACGTGTACATGTTGAAGAATCGACGATACGAACAGGATTGAAAGCAGGTTCTAAAGGAATGTCAATTGAAGAAGAAAATGTTGAACCTCTAATCAATGAACAAAATATGACACCTAAAAAAGCTAATACTAGCAAACCTCTTACAAAAAACGAAGTAGATGAAGACGATGATAGCGAAGAATTAGCAGAAATTCCGCCAGCATTACCTTTAATACAACCAAGTAGTTTGAGTAGTAGGGAAGTGTCAATGGAAAGCCTAGACAGCAAGTACAAAGAACGTTTACGAATGAATGACGAATTAGTATCTAACCATAGTAGAGGTATTGATGTACATGGTATGAGTAAAGGACCTGCTGAGGAAGAAGACGAAATATTGGAAATAATAGAAGTGGAAGAACCACTGGAACTTGTTCCAATGCAAGACAGTTGTCTTCAGGTCACTGAAGAAGACATTGCTTTCTGCATGGGTTTAGAACATCCTTTCTTAGAACTAGACCCTGAAGATCCCGATGATCATCCTCTACGAATATTAAGCCAAGAAAACCTCACTGTAGCTTCAACATTTACCGATACACTATCACTCTACAGTGAAGTTGAAAGGCAAATCCGAAACGAAGCTTATTTTAGGCAAACAATGGGATTTTATGCAGAACTAAGTGATATAAATCCCCACGAGAGTTTGCCTTCCTCGAGATCTAGACTTGACGATTTAATCGGTCTAGCTGAATTATATGGATCACGTAGATTATTAGATAATAATGAAGTACCAGCATCCAGAATCGTTCCACAATTTCAATCTCTATCACTATGTAATGTCCGAGATACAGAGGAATTTCACGGAGACGGTTCTGTTTATAGTGAACCTGCATATCGTCCGAGTGATAAAATATGTGATAGCTGCAAACGGACTATGTCTAGGCCAGGCAGTGCAGTAGGAGATTGTAGTGCATATCATGACTTAGAAGTTACTCATAATGACGCGTATGGTCCATTTGAACGGTATCGAGGAAATGACATAACTGATGCACGAATTGCTTCATTAAGACATCCAGATGGTGCATCAGATCCTAACCTGAGAGAAGAAAGAAGGATACCAGGTAGTGGTGCTCCTATGGCGAACTTCAAAGAACTAAAATCAAACTTACATTTAGAAGTGACGCCTCCTGTAGTTACTACAGAACCACGTTCAGAGAAAATTGAGAAAGGGGATAAAATTGTAGCAAAAGTAGCGGCGAGTTCCAAGCCTGATGGATACGATAGTGGTCATGAATCCACACCAAGGACTGGCAAACATAGTCCTGCTGCGACGTCAAGACGTGCTGAATCAGGATATGACTCAGTCCCTAGAGATTCTGACGCTTCATCTCTGGACTCTTACCCGACAAGGCGAGCCGCAGTAGCGCGAGCTCATGCAAAAAAACACACAACCGCTAAATACAAACAACATAGCGACCGCTCGTTCTGCTCGTGGCTCCGTAACCCTTTCACATGCAAATATGCCGACACCGACCCTGAAATCAGTGACTTTTAAAACAAAGAACAATCGCAAGGTACAGTACCTTGTATTTTCTAAAATTCTAAATACTATGATATCATTAAGCTACGTTACCGAATTTAATCTGGAGACTGCTTTTGTACCCTAAACGTGAAATATTTTATGTAAGGGCTTTCGCACGTTGACTTGAGGAGGTTACCGCAGTATTTTTCTAATCCCAATGGAAGCTTCTTCGTACTCTGAAGTCTATTTTTAAAAAAGCTAATAAACATTATCGACTAGGTTATTAGTAACTCTTTGTAAATACAGTTGCAACGAATACCGTTAACTGAATCTGTTAAATGTAAACTTCAGCTCACTTTTGTACTTTTATATTTATGACCTCGTTATTATATTAGTGATTTTGTTTCATAAAAGTAGCTTTTATACTCAAGATGTGAAGTAACCTGAAGAGCGTCTTCCGTTGTCTTCCCTTGCCTGTGACTTCATCTATATATCGAGGAATATCTGTCATATTTTCTACTTTCACCCAGGCACATACCCAACAATCATGTTATTTGACACTTTAATTCCCATCATCAGGAACAATAACCTCATCTTTATACAGCTTTATCCTGATATTGGAATAAAAGTGATAATCCTCTGTAAATTAATGGCTCGTTTTTAGATCTAAGACTGTTGTGTCATTGGCCATGTTTAAAATAGCTTTAATATTTTGACATTGTATTAAACGTTCACTATATCAAAGTCGGCATGTCTGTTTGTAAATACATATTGTTGATCATTCTTGAACGCGGTTTCCTAACCTATGCTTTTGAAAATTTACTATTATACATTCCTTGATTTCATTTTTATATTGTTCACAATCCACGCGCATCTTTATGGCCGTGTGTGGATAGAACTACTTACATATTTTTTTTTTTTTACACATTTATTACACACTTTGATTTTTCGTAATTGATTGATTTATACTGCTGCTTGTTATTTGTTACGAAGAACGGAAAGTTAAATACTAGAGTACAAGTAAAGTCCTTGACTGGGGCTGTCTTTTAAAGTCTCTGTGTAGTTTCTTCAGTGAATAAATTATTACAATCACACTAAGATAATTGTGTTCAAGAATGGATCATAAACACTTAATTGCAATCATTATGGCTTTATAAAATGTTGGTGAACTTAGTTAACGCTTTATTGTCAATGTTTTGTTATTGTACTATTAATATAAATATATATCCTAAATTCTACTATGCGTTCGTATTAGTTTACAATAAATTGTTCAATTTCAACTGATAATTTGTTTCATTGTATTCATATTTATTAAAATATTACTAATAATATCAGTACATTACATAATTTGTAATAAGCATCATCGTCATGAACCCAGTTATAAGTCCCACTGCTGGGCACGGGTCTCCTCTTAGGCTTGGGTTTAGGCCAGAGCCCGTCACGCTAGCCTAATGCGGCTTGGGGGCTTCCAACGTTTTCCGGCTTGTGAACCTTTCTTCAACGCGCAGCTTGCACACGATGTTCTTCTTCACCGAAAAGCTCGTGTTAAACTTAAAATTTCGCACATATGTATATTCCAAAACAACTCAAGAGGTGCCAGCTTGAGAAGTGATAGATCAAACCAATAGGTGTAATTCAAAAACCGCAAACTTTTGGGGGACATTAGCAAGTAAACGCATTACGTAAACAGGTGAAAAATTAATTTGAAACTATGTAACTAATAAACATAAATGAATAAAAAAAACGAAGACACACACGAGCAGATAACAGAACAGAGTCGATTGCAGTCTTTGAAACAATTTCGGTAATCACCGTCAATCCAGTTTACACTCCACTGCCGGGCCTGCAGGTCAATTCAGAACCTTACGATAATTCTGTTGTCGACCGATTCGATTACCTAATCGAACCTCAAACTGTCGTATTCGAAACGTACCGTAATGACGTCACACCCGTACGATTATTCGTGCTTCTGAATCGGCAAAGGCTACAAACGTTACTCAGAACACAGTTATCGAATGAAAGTTATCGAACGTCCTGTAAATAGGACGCAAGAATGTAATATGGATATCGTTTATTATTTTAAATAAAATCTGGATTTTGTTCAATTTTATTAGTTTATGTTAATGCGAGACTAATGCATTCCTACATTTTAGGCCTTTAAGGTCTTAAAAATATATATAAAAGGGTTTCATTTTTCTTCTATATTCGCCGACTAACTCCGTACACGTAGTTGTATAACGATATCGTATGCGAATCCGAATCGAACGTTTAAGTCGGAATATTCTGAATAGCTCGGAAAGCGCCCTTCGATTCGAGAACGATATCCAAACGAAGGATGCGGTTAAGATATCGAAGAGTTCTGAATCGGGGTCCAGTTTGCCTTTAGGAAGAGAGTTTGGGTCATAATCCGCAACGCCTGGTTGCGAATTTCACGTTTTCGGGTAGTTGTTTGGAACCTTCTTCGATATGCCGGTTTCTTCACGATATTGTCCTTCATCGTTTATTTTACTAAATATTTACAAATATACGCTACTTGGAAAATAACAGTTATTAATATGCCCATGCCGCCACAGGCATTTCAATCGTAGACTTCACAATCGAGAAGCAAGAAAAAATCGAGGAGCAACCGTTCTCGTTCTGTGCTATCGCCACTTTTCTTCGATATTGGTATAAATAAATTGTAAAAAATATAGTTATTGTAATTTTAGGAAAGTACCCAATAAATTTAAAGATTTTTAGACAGTAACTAAAACAATAATAGCTAGAAGACGTCGGTTCGAACCCGGCCGGATCGAGAGAGTTTTTTCCAAGTGTTCCATTTTTGTATTAAGAAATATAACAAACTAGTGGAGTAATTTCACATAAAAAATTGAATATCTAATGATAATTATTTTTTTATATGCTTGATTTTCTTGCCGGTGAGTTTATTATACAACGTTACTGAAAATGATTGAGATGCTATCTTTTAACCCGTCTCGTGTCCTACAAACTAATTGCCAACGATTTTATTAAAAAAGCTTTTTATTTTTTAATTAATTTCATTTTTTTAGGAAATGGCGGACGAAAATACATCTGAGCGTTAGAGGCACTGTACCAAAATAGTTAGTTACCTGTACGTCGTCGTTTACGACAATAAGATTGAAACTAAACATAACTATGTAAACAGAAAAACTATGCAAAAAGCTTGCCGTCATTTCTCAAGAGACTTTAAAAGGTTCAATGAAACTCAACCACTTCAGAGAATATTCTATTCCCTTAAATAACAAAAAATCATCTAGACGTAATAAAAGAACGTAATACAACGGGGTTCTCGCGGAAACCATGAATAAATAACGTGAAAGTTGCAGCTTGGCGTCACCCCCGGGAAAGAAATTCCAAATCTTTTGGGATGTAAAGTTTTTTCCCTTCATGCAACTTAACTTTCGTCTTTAGGAGGGAGCTATTATCTTTCATTTCGGCCTGTAATTTAACAATCTCCCGGCGCCCCACGAAAATCAGGCTATCAAGACGTTTACCCTCTTTCGGGAGGGTGACAACTTTTTTCCTGGAAATCTCCCAATAATTTGTTAAAGTGGCAGCTGTTTAGACCATAACGCTTATCGAGCGCTAAAAAGATTTCCCTTTTATGTTTAAACGAGTTTTGAGAATTTGATGAGGATGCCAATATTTCTAGCTCCTTTGTATATGTACACAGCACTTCCGATCACCGACGATATTTCTTGACATCATTTATTTTTTGTGTAAAGTAGGAGGCAAGTGAGCAGACGAGCCTATTAATGGAGGTACTCATTGTCGTCCATAAGCATTTGCAACACCAGGGGAGCTGTCTACGCATTGTGTGCTTTTGAGAGCCCTATTTACAGACATTTGGAAGAACCCTATGTCGTGGCATAAAGAAAATATAGGTAGCCCATTCCACTTCAACGAAGGAAATTCTTTCTTGGGCCTTTAACAACAATGTCATATTATGTCGCATCAGCTAACTACATTGCTCGCGATTTTTTTTGCAGGTACGTAGATTTTGAAAACTATAGACAACGTTCTGCCATCTTAGAAAAAAAAAAGTTGAGACCTTTTTGTCAATATCATATACGAGTTTTTGCGTTCGTGTAGTTCAAATAAAATTAGTTTCCAGATTACGTCGATTGAGTTTTAGTAGTAAATATTTATAATTCTGTCAAATTTTGCCTGTGTGGTGCGTGCTCGCAGGAATGTTCTCTAAGCTTTTGATTGGTGTTTTTTCTTATATTCGCGTGATATTAAAGCCGTGTGATTGGTTCTTATCAATGGCATCAGTGAAATGTCGTGACGACTAAGTTTACGCTATGATCTGTTGTTAAATGTACTATTGTTATTTCAGTTTAAAATTAAGAATTGTAACACATCGAGTTCTTAGGGTTTCGCATTGCTTAGGAAAAGAAATTATTTTTCCGATCTAAATCGCGTACATTTGTTTTTTCAAACAAACCAACGTATCGGACCACGTTCGAAAACTTGTAACTAACTTATATGGACCCTTACATTTAAGTTCTTTAGTTTGGTATTTTAATGAAATACATTTTGAGAGTTGATTTTTAAGCACTACATTCAATGTTGATGTACCGTGTCAACCAGTACAATTCATTGGCTAAATTTAAAACCTCGTAACTCTGTTGTTAGACTTGTTAAAATATAATTTGTACACCTTCATTCAGTTATAAAATAAAGGTATACCTAATCATAAATGGTCATAAAATTATTTCTAGTAATTCTGTGTTTTGTACCTACTCAAAAGTTCACATTAATGGAGGTTACGAGGTTTACGAATTTAGCCGACGCACTGTAATATCAAAAACAGAATTTAGAGAAAAACTGCACAAAGTATTTTTTTCAAAAAATTCTATCCAGCCATTATGATCGACTTTTTCTATATGATACCAAGTGTTGGAACGAACGAGTCGTGCGCATGAAGGTAAGTACACGCCTGTCCATAACAGTTGCAGTGCCACAGAACTTTAAATCGCAAAGATCTGAGGGGCATAGCCACTGCGCCTGCCACCCTGAGACATAACTTGACAAGTCTCATGTAACTGTACTTTCACCAGCACCCTTAACCTTCCAAACCGGAACGTAGTAATGCTCACATTACTGCTAATAAGTAAGGTGGCAGAACTTCCCTGGACGAACTCTTTCACAAGAAGCTCTACTGATACTAAAAGTGTTCTAAATTCTTTTAGTTATAAAATAACGGTATATTCGTAGATATCAACAATATAGGCTACTACAGAGGTTCTGTTAGTACATTGCTAGCATACCTATTATATTGGCACCTAAATTATTTAATAAAATACCAGATGCAATTAAAGAACTAAATTGTAGGCAATTTAAAATATAATTACATAATTTGTTACTTACACAATGCTACTACAATATAAATGATTTTTTAATTGATAACATAAAATGTAAAATTTAACCACTGTGTGTGATTGAAATAAGAATTGTGTAAAATATTCGCATTCCAAGTTTTGGTGAAATGTACGATCTAATAATAATATACTATAACACCATTGTAAACTACATTTTTCAGCGAATAAATATCTTGTATTCTTGTATTCTTGTATCCTATTTTGTTTACTCCACTTGCAAATAAAAACTACATAAACCTATAAAACGTTGTCTTCAAGCAACACTATGCCAACTAAATATAAATAGCCTTATTTTATTTACTAATATTATGCATTCCGAATTCCGAAAAATAAAGAAACAAAGAACAAAATTGGAAAAAAAAATTGTAAACACAAAAAAAAAAACAAAATAAAAATAGAGATGACCAAAAAATTCACTTGGCATAGTGTTCATTGGAGATATCGAACTATAAGCCAAATAATAACCGTATTATAATGCAACTGTTTAAGAGCACTT